TCATAGGGCTAATCTGGATGAATCCAGACTAGAAACTAACGGTAATGGACTGTCAGAGACAGAGGCAGATACGGATAGACTATAGGAATCAATCCTAAGTCTTGGAGGGTGATGAGAGTAGGGATACTCAAGTCCGGAGGACAGGAATGAGTAGAACTAAGATGATATTCGAACTGAGGTGCTACAGAGAGTTACAGGAGATTATATACTATAGGTATCTAACAGAATGATCAATCAGCAGAGTCTGAGGCTATGTATGAAGCATATGGATAGTCTATTGGTAAGTAGAAACGGATCACAAATCATGAAACAGAAATGAAACATAGGTAACAGATCAGGGAGCAGGACAGATATACAGATAGCTGAAATACCGGAGTTAGGGGATTACTGAAAGGAGATGAGTGCTGGTTGTGGATTCAGATGAATTGTGGACCAGACCTGGATGAGTGGACAGATTGGATGATGAGATGTTGGAGGGAGATAAGATGTGGATAGGATCAGAGATAAGATGTGGATCAGATCTGAGATCCGGATATGCAGATATGTGGATATGACAGTGATACCAGACTGATATAGTGGTACAAGCCTGGATAAGAATACCAAGGATAGGCAGTCATTACAAGGCACCTCAAGACTTCAGAAAGCTCCAATTCTGACTGTCTTCAAATAGCCTTACACCTGGCTGGCATCAGGGAGAGGTCCTCTATATGGTATGTTCAGGCTTGGCAAGGTACGTCTGGCTGGGGGGGTCTTGCCAAGCCTGGGAATGCCTTACTAGGGTGCATCACTTTTGCTGATGTAGGGCATTAGAACATTGTGAATACAGGTGACAATCTGGACTTACATCTCAGTCTCTTGAAAAGAACTAAGATGTCTGGGCGCTACTAGTGGCCCTTTTAAGCTGGGTGGCTTGACTACTGTAGGATATAAATGTGAAACATAAAATAAAGGGAGGACATGAGCTGACATCAATACATTGTTCACCTGGGCCTTGGTCTGTTTTGGCTTGTGCTTGTACCTCACTTACTCACTCTCCATACCTAGGTCGGATCCTTTGGTCTTCTTTGTCTCGGATCTCTCTGAGTCCAACAGCGCTTGGTGGGTAGTACCTTGAGGAGCAGACTTGTGCCTGGGTATGATAGCCAGGATAGAGGAGAAGGATCATCTAATTTTGGTGCAATGAGGACTAGTACAGGCCTGGGGTATGTGGTAGGTGACTTTGGCCATGTTCACAATGTACAGATTACATAACTGTACAGAGAACCCCTGACAAGTATGTGATTACATAAGTCACTCCACCCTGTGCAACAGTTCTCCTATCTTTCTTCTGAACCATACTCTATCTGTTATAATTCATAATGGCAATCCAACAATGTTTGGCATTATTCTTCCTTTCAATTTTCTTCATTCTGCCCTATGTCATTGTTGTTCTCCCATCAATCCTTGGATTACAAACTTACAGCTATAACCTTATATTCACCTTGGTAGCCCTCACAGTCATCATCCTCATAGGTAATTTGTATTACCTATCTTCATTGGCCTCACAGTATTTTGTAAGTCTTATGAGTGCTCACAATAAATCCGTTGCACAGGGTGCACTGAACCACAGCTTGGGGTGTGCTTCCCAACTAGTGAATTGGGTCATAATTCTCACTTATCTGATTGCTATATGTGAGTGAGTTTCACTGTATTAGTCATCATCTAACCTTATTATCAGCACTGCGTCAGGTTGAGATCCCAGTTTTTCCCATGATGGTAATACTTGTTGAAGGTAAGTTGTTGCATCATGTCATCTGTATTTATTCTTATGTGGATAACAGGGACAAGAGTGCCATCACTGCTGGCAGATCGTGGTGCATGGCACATTCTGGAACAGTACCTTACTACTGAGATGACCTACCCTCAGATGGAGGCAGCCTTTGCCTCATACTTGGGCAATCGATACAATGCAGATGATTGGAAAGAAGCTTGTGATGCATTGTTCTCTGGCAATGATGATAACTCCCTCACCTTAGCAAATCTTCTTGCCTTGAAGGCCAGGCATGTACCCCAAGGTGCCTCCAGTACATTGATAGTTATTACCTTGTGGAAAGATTCTGCCATATCTGTGTCTGCCTCAAAGGCAGCTGTTTGCTTGAAAGCGCACACATCCAAAGAGTAAGAAATATATTCATTTTGTTATGACTTCTATACTAAATAATACATGTAGCTGTTAAGGTCATACTCAAGGCTAAACAGATCCTAAGGGCTTCAGCCTCAGCTCATGCACTGTGCCCCTTACCTGAGTATTGCCTCTTATTTTAGGAGGACAAGACTAGCACATCCAGAGGGTAGGACAAGTAGCATAGTGGATCTGGATGACTTCTGGATGTAGAATAAGTATTGTAAGGCTAACCTGGATGAGTCTGGACTAGAAGCTAATGGTATGGACTGTCGTAGACAGAGGTGGATATGGATAGACTATAAGAATCAATCCTAAGTCTCAGAGGGTGATGAAAGTAGAGATACTCAGGTCTGGAGGACAGGGATAAGCAGAACTAAGATGATATTTGAACTGAGGTGTTACAGAGATTTACAGGAGGTTATATACTATAGGTATCTAACAGAATGATCAATCAGCAGGATCTGAGGCTATGTACGAAGCATATGGATAGTCTATTGGTAAGTAAGAATGGATCATAAATAATGAAACAGAAATGAAGCATAGGTAATGAGTCAGTGAGCAGGACGGATATACAGATAACCGAAGTACTGGAGTCCGGGGATTACCAAAAGGAGATGAGTGCTGGTTGTGGATTTGGATGAATTGTGGACCAGACTGGACAAGTGGGCAGATTGGATGATGAGATGTTGGAGGGGGATAAGATGTGGATCAGATCTGAGATGAGATATGGATCAGATCTGAGATCTGGCTATGTGGATATGACAGTAGCCAAAAAAATCCCTTTATCAACAATGAGGCATCTGATGATGATGATGGGGAGGAGGAGGAGGAGGAAGAGGAGGAAAACTCACAGGTGGAGGGTGATGATGGCCCTTCTGTGCAGTCATTGAATGTTACACACTTGCCAGGACCTTCATCAGCCAAGGATAGGCTATCTGCAGTGATCAATCACATCTCTGACAGGTATGAGAATGCCCCAAGCACCTGTCATAGAGTGGTCTCATCCTCTGGCACAGTCCCAAGCAGGATGTACCTTCTCCATGTTCACAGTGAGTGCATATTTTAATGACCTAGCATGGCACTGAATGTATCACAGGATCTGCCATGCAACATGTTGCTGAACATCTCAGGAGCAATGGAGCTGCAGTTACTGTATGAACTTGGATACCAAGCCAGCTCTATGCTGTCTCAGATAGCCCTAGAATGATTGCAACATTGCTTAAATTACTCTCTTCCTCTGTGAAAGATTATACTCACATCTTGGAGGAAGAATGAGCAGTGGTCAAACATTCATGCTCTACACTTCCCAACCCCAGGTGGGTGAAGATCACACAGGGAAAATATAAGGGTGACATTGGCTATGTCTTCAACTCCAAACAATCAAACAACTTTGTTACAGTATTGATTTCCCTACACAACTTCCCCTATGACATGCCTAAGAGATCTGTGGCACTGCTTGACTGAGCTCACCTGCTGAATGACAAGACAGTGTCTGACATTCTTCAGGATGATAAAATCATGGGATGGTCATACAAAGGAGAATGATACTACATGGGACTTTTGCTGAAGAACTTTCACCACAACAGTCTGGAGCTGGTCGCCTCCCCTCATGCTAATGACATTCAACTACATCTCCAGTCCAGGTGGGATGTACCTTTCTTCAAGAAAACTCTGAAGACCTTTTCACTGCAGTTCTTGTGTATTGGTGATTTAGCCAGGCCTATCACAGGAGAAGTCTGTCAAGAAATTGGCATGGTCATCTCGACAAACCATGCATCTGGCTCTACATGCTTAAAGTTCATTATCAATAGACATGGACAAGAACTGGAATTTCAACTCCAGGACATTGAGCATGTCTTTTGGGTTGGTGACATGGTTTGAGTTGTAGTGGGTGCTTACACAGGTCTGGAAGGGCACATCATTAAGAAGTCTGAGGACTTGTTTCATGTGTGTCAAGAAGCCACCAATGAAGAGGTATGGTTAAATAGAACATCCTGTAAGCCTGTCTGACATTACATAGGTGGAAGTATTGAAGTACTACCTAGATCATTGTCCTTTAACTCATGTTCTTCAATCCTGGCCACCAATGCAGCCAGATTTTGACCCTCTCCCTGAGCCCAAATCTCTTCAAATCAGGGACAAGATAGAAGTATGTGTGGGAGAGTACATGGGGAAATGCAGGATTGTGGTGTGGTTTCCTATTGGGGGGACTACACTGTGGTTCCAGGCTGGGGGCAATATCAAGGATGAGTTGATCAACACCCCCACAGCATTTGTACAGCACATTCGTCCCTTCAAGACTCTCCAATTTACCAATGAAAGGGGTTATGATGTTAAGCCTGGAGACATTGTGACTGTTGCCTGTGGGCCAGAGTTCCAGATGAAAGGGGTGGTACAAGCCATGGACTTTTCAAATGCATGCCTGACCCTGATTTCTGAGGGTGATTACTCACTTGTAAGTACTACTCTCCTCAAATTGTGTCTCTAAAATATGACAGGTCAACATTCCTACTGGATTTGCCCTGAAAATATCCAACATGAACCTGGATTCATTTTGTGACATCATTGGTAAAGAAGTCTTTATTATTGGAGGTGCATGGAAGGGCTACTGAGCCACACTATACCAACTTGCTCATGATACCTGCTCCATTTCTGTGCATGAGCAAACATGCACTATGGTTAAATGTGAGGACATTGTTACTAGGTGATCATATTGTATATTGTTGTATTAATTTTTATTCACAACTATTTAAGATACAGAATGAGGTTAAACAGTGCAATACTCAAAGGTCTGGACATGATCTCTTTCTGCAAGATGCAGAAGAAATCATATATAATGCCATCATGTCAAAGCAAGAACCCTCCACCTGATCCTGTAGTCCCATCCAGTTCTAGTATGGATCCCAGCTCCAGCAAGTGGTCCAACTGGTCCAGCCATAACAACCATGATTTGACAGATAGCCTTTCTGCTGGTGTCAAGACATATGACCCCTGGGTTGCTAATAATGCAGAGGACATCGAGGATGTCATTGCAGATATAAAGGAGAAATCCCAAAACAGCAGTGAGTCTCTAATGTAGACTTATTAAGATTTGGCTTATTTCATTACAGGCCCATTACCTTGGTTGATGAACAAGGAGTTTGCATTGAAGTTGACTCATCATCACGCAGTGCTTCAAGTATCACCAAGTTTCATGGGAGGCAGGCTGCATAATCACTTCATATCTACAGCTTGTCCTGACCCATTGTAACAATCATACCAGTGCTAGGTGCATATGATCACCAGCACTGTTCTTCCTACTACCAAGAAAGGAGATAGAATGTTAATCATTAAACCCATATATATCAACTCATCCACTGTTAGTGTACTTCATGGAACTACTGGCATGCACTCCTTCTGCGCCCCCATTTAGCTTTGGTCTGACCCTAGGAATCTGTCCTCCCATGTCCTATCCATGTTCACCTATCTCTGCTGGTATGTTATTTTCCCCAAATGTCATTGTGAAACAAGCTGCAGGTCTTATTACACATTACTCACATTCCACAGTGCATGATGTCTTATTACCTATAGACTCATTGCGCATACACATTCCAAACATTCACACACTATGATAAAACGACTGCAGTACATACAAATGAGTAGTTCCCTTTCCCCTGGACTCAGCTCTTAGGAGAGTTGCTCTTGCATTATTTTGCAGACCTTGTGCAATCCATTCTGTTGCTCATACTTGACGATCATGCACAATTCAACCGCTGTAGAGACTTGCACCTCTGTATGCCCATAGAGCCCTATATTGTGATGTATCTGTATACAGTTTGCAGCACGAACTTGCGGCATCATTCCCTATATCATTCCTTCACTCAGCCTATACATGTGTGGTCTTCCTGTGCATCACATGATGCGCATGCTACTCTCCCACAATGCACTCTCATGCGCTTTCCCATGCTTCATCGCCCATCATTCAGGAGCATCCATCCATTGTCCAGCAAGTCCTACTGGTACATTTTCACACTTTATCTTCATTATGACACCATATCCTATCATAGACCCTTACTTACATATATCCTTACATACCTTCTTTGTTCCTGCACCTTACTCGTGTCAGCTCCACATCGTGGGAATGTGCTTAGTTGCCTTTTGCATGATAGCATTCGCATTTTTATGACTTAGTTAGCTACCACTTAGGTGCCAGTTAGTATCCCTTAGCATCCCTCAGCATAGTGCATGCATTTTCGAGCCATACAGTAATCCACTACCACTTGCATTTCCACCATCACTTGCATCAATGCACAACATTGTCAAATCACATTATTTAGACACAATTCTTGCTGATGTATTTTCATGGCATATAGAGCTATGTATGGCTGGCATAATATCTTAAATCTGCTAGGAGGAAAGGTCATGATATTGCAATTTGTAGCTCAAATTTCACTTTTCTGTACATAGCACCTTCGAATGATTTTTGTGGTGCACTCAAATGTTGTATATCAATGAAGATTACCTTTACTGACATCTGACATGTGTTGTTTGTAAGGATTGTAGCATTCCTGATGTGCCAGTTCAATGCCAGTGAAGCATTACACAAAACTTCACAATCAATGAGTTATCAGATCTAAGTATGTTATGGATGACAAATATTAGCTAAATGAGGCTGGGCACATTACAATCTGGCGTGTCATGTACTAACAAAAATCTTTCCTACAAAATGTCTGGTATTGCCTGCTCCATAGCAAAGAAGAAACAGATGGCTTGTGCTGAGCAAGAAAAAGCTTATGCAGAGGCAATGAAGTTCTGCGCCATTCCGCACATCTCAGTCAGTACTGGAGCAAACCTTTGGATACTGCTTGTGGATGGGCTGTTAATGACATTGACAGCAATGATTCTGATGGTGGGAGCTTGGAGGTTTGATTGGCTGATTGCTTATCAGCAATAATTAATCACATACAATTAGTTCTTATCATTGAGTAATACCATTTTTGGGACTGACACAAGTGACAGTGGAATATTGATAAAGGCCTTATTCTTAATCCATTCACCACTCTACAACACATGTTCTGATGCTCTCAATATTTTATGATACACAATAGTACATGTATTAGAAAGTAATGGCCAATCATGATTGTTTTTTAAATGTGCTGTTGTGTTGTGAGACACACTCAAAGTTTTACTGACACAAGTGACAGTGGATTACTGTAGTCAGTAGCTTTTGGCAATCACACTCTATCATCATCACATTTGTCATTCTCGCACCCATCACTATCAGTCATCATCCTCCCTTAGTCCCTATTGCATTCCTAGCCCTTTGCACACTTTCGCCTGTTAGCACATGATTTTCCTGTGCTTTGTGTGACCTGCAGATGTGTTGTACTTGCTTCCCCTTGGGTTGAACGCACTTGCCTTTGTGAAGTATAGCAGCCTAGGCAGAGCTGAGACAACCACACATATACTCTGACTTGGTATTCCTGTTAGTGCCATAGCTTAGTAGTTGATTCCTTCACCACTCTGAAGTTCCATACCGCTAGGATCTTACACTTAAGATCTTGCAGGAACACCTGACCCATGACCAGTAACTTGGTGTGGTCCTTCTCTTGCCCTATTTCTTTTGCATCCAGCCACTCTATTGAGTGCATTTGATTTTGTGCGCATTACATCTACTGCACCAGCATCTGGCATCCACCACACTTGCATATACAGTGGCTCAAAAAGTGTCTCAATGTTTGTGACTTTTCATATAATTGCTGTATTATGAGCCAGGGCGTGAGAATATGACTAAGCCATAGGGAGGTGTAGGAAAGCTCTGCTTCTAAGCTTCATGTTTAATTCCTATAGTGTGGAAAGATTATTTCATCAAGTGAAGATATGGTTAATTTAATTTGGTGACTCATTAAGACACTTTTTGACTTTCAGTTTGGCCAACACAATCTCTATAATTCTAGTATTTGGTGCTTCCTCCTGTTGCTTTGATTACTTCCACCACTCTTCTATGCATACTATCTATCAATTTGAGGCATTCCTCATCAACAATCTTGCCCCACTCTGCTGCAACTCTCTCCCACAGCTGAAATAGCCCCTATTATTATCCTCAGCTCTTCTAATCTGTGACGGATGGGCCAGTGTCCTGCATGATTTGGGAATCATGCATGGACATGACTACTAGGTAGCCCCCTAAAAGACAAAGTCTGTTAGCTTAGGCATCAGGCTAGTCAACCCATACCTTGGTTTCAAACCTTGGTCAAATAGTTCAGTTTCCCCTCTGTGATTCATGAATTTATTATATCTTGAAGAAAAGTCATTTGTGAGATGGGAATCACATAATGACCTAGTTGATATTGTGAAGCAAGAAGGTTAAGGTATTGCCTTGCCTTTGGCTTATTCACTTTGGCTAGAGAAAACCATAGAGAAAAGTTCAAAGCCTAACAAAAACCTATCTAAAAAGCCTATGTTTTGTGTTTTGTTATTGTATTATTATTTCTGAGTTGTTTTCTCTAGTATTTCCTTGATTTATTTTTCTATTGGGATGCTCTGACCCATCAGATACTTCACAAAATTGTACCTACAGGGTATGATGTCATAATGATGTCATATGGCTCCACAGATACTCCTGCAAGTATTCTGTTGAAAGTTATGATGTCATTTGTTCTGGAATGTTCTGCTCCACAATGACTCACCTCTGATGTCATTACTCCGCTTTTTTACTTACATAATATTCCCACACAAAATGTATATAAGGAGGGCCCATTCTCCCCCAAAAAATAGGATCTCCCACTTGCAATCATTTGAATCTCAGTTTGAGCTACTTACTGTGAAGATTGTTGCTTACAAAGAAAGCCCCTTTGAAGTACCAAGTGCAGGAAAAAGACATTCCCTTGAGATTACATAAGTTTCTTATGATAGAAACTTAGTTTATTTGAGACCAGCTTCTCACCTAGTTTCGGATATTGACCAACATGAGCTTTGGTCAATCTGTTCATTTGTGAGACCAGCTTCTCACCTAGTTTTCTGATATTGACCAACACGAGCTTTGGTCAATCTGTTCATTTGTGAGACCAGTTTCTCACCACTTTGTGCCTATTTGACCAACCAGTCTTTGGTCAACATATTCGTATTTGAGACCATAGTCTCTACAGAGAATTATCTTAACAAGGAACCACATTCCAGTGTCTAGACAGTTTATCCTAGACAAGTTTATAAGTTGGGATATAACACAAAAGCTCCAGCTAAGTTAATCACAGATTGGTTTAGCAAGCCTCCCAAGAACTCACATGTTATCTACCATGAAAGAAGAAAAGTCACAGACCATGTTAATCAAGGACTGGCAAGAAGTCTTATCCCAGTGTAATTGTGGTGTCATTACATTTTACATGCATTTATATAAGACCCTTGGTTATTAAGACACTGCCAGAGCATGTTGCAGAAGGCCTTGGGTGTGGAAGGCCTCAGAAGAGACACAGGGATGCTAGTCCTAGTAGGCCGCCAACCAAGTGAAACATTGCTTTGAGTCGCCTGCTGGCAACAGATGAAGCTGGCCCAACATGTATGCCTAAGTTTGATGAGTCTGGGCCTCCTACAGTAAGTGATTCTGATATCACCAAAGGTTGTTCAATTGTTATGGGGTCTAGTAGCCAAATACCATTAGGACCCACACTGGGAAGCAGCACAAGAGTGACAATCATTCAAGCATGCCAATGGAGGAACTGGAAGTAAGGCCAACAGAGCATGTCCAAGCTAAGACCAAGGTACTCACAGAGGACATCAGCACCATAAGATTTCATCCTTTGTAATGTATAATGCTGAGTCAGTATAGACCACAGCTGGGCAGGAGTTGGAGCTACCTTGTACTATGTGTCTAATTAAGTGCGTGACTGATATTGAGTGCTGATGTACACTGATCAGCATTAATTCAGGTCAGTTATCTGTCACCAAGGATTTGGAGTTGGCACTGTGCTTAGAGCTTGCTCCAGGTGCTCCAGGAAGAAATTGAAGTGTTCACACTTAGAGCAATCAGCAACGATCAAAGTAGGTTTGGTCCTATTCTGCCCTGCAAACCATGCACCGGATGATGATGAAGGTACATTTTTCATATTCTAAGTATTCTAGACATGCTCATATCAGACAACTCAGCCACCACTCCAACTGACCCACCACTGACAATGTCTGTACCTGTTAAGAACCACGCTCAAGGGGGAGAGAGACTGACTCAGAGGGGCTTGGCCTCAGCTCGTATGCTGTGCCCCTTACCCAAGTATGTGC